TGTGGATGATCCTCTGTGGCGCCACCTAAAGGAAGCAGGTCGTGACTACTTTGTAAATTTCTACACACACTGCTCAAAACATTACAACAGGGGAGGGAACTCGAGGCCTCGAGGGACGGCGTCCTGCAGGTTTTACGTGTGACCTCAGTGACCTCAGCATGTCCTGAAGTTCTCCAGAGGCCTGGCAATGAACTAATCATGTGATTCGTGTGTGTTGACCCAGGGTGACATCAAACCTGCAGGCCTGGAGTTCCCCTGCTGTAAAGTGTTTCTTTATTTTTTGGAGCAGAGTCACATGACCGAGGAAAGCCGACGTTTCAAAACCAGAACGACGACATGCGATCCTGCAGCAGCTGAAACGTCCCTTTAATGAGGCGCAGAGGAAACGAGCCAGAGTTTTATCCAGTGTCCATTTATTTATGTTTCTGTCATTCACTACTTTAACTCTAAACATTTTTTTAAGAAATTCAAGTATTTGTTGGGAACACAAGTCAAAAAAAAAAAAAACTTTGCTAAAACAAAGACAAAAACATCTTTTTTAAAACATCATATTTAGAATAATCAACACATCAAGTTTCTTTTCATAGAAGAAAAACGAGTCTAATCTCTACAGCAGAGCAGCCGCCGCGCTCCGTCCACCCGACGGCTGATCTGAGGACAGTGCAGGGAGGGAAAGACCAAACACGGGTCGCCTAAGCTGGAGGACCGCTACGACCACGACGACAGAAACGAGGAAAGAGACGAGTCCGGAGGAAAAACGCCCGAGTGACCACGCGTCTGTCTGAAGTCAGAGTCGCACTTTTAGTCGCTGCGAACATCTGCTGAACATCTGCTGAACATCTGCAGGCTGGAGAAACGACCGACTCATGAAGGAGACGACCGTCATCGACCTTTAACACAAATATGATTTGTGACCCAAACGTACTGTTTGATATTTACGTCACATGATGGTCGTGTTTGTTTACCTGCAAGCAACCCGAGGCTGCTCGGACCTGATTGGTCAACACAAACCAAAGTGTCGGAGTCTCTGGACGAGTGACACGATCACGCCGCCAAAAATAAACGTCGTTTTTTTAAGAACACAAAATTGTTTCCTTGAGTTTTCTTTAAGTTTCCCAAACGGCCGTTTTCCACAGTTATTATTGAGTTTACTGTAACAACCTGCAGACGTCTGCGGCGCGCTGCAGTGACACAACGCCAACATTCAAAGAAATTAACCAATCACACGACCTCCTGACGACGCGTCGGCGCCACTAATCTGTTCGTGCTCGTAATTTATAAGGAGGCTGAAAAAGAAGCTTCATGATGAACGATGTCCTCACACAGCCGAGCCTGCGCTGAGGAAGAGAAGTTGGGTG